GTTTCTGTATTCATGTCAGTAAATTGTTTCTGTATTCATGTCAGTAAATTGTTTCTACCTTCATGTCAGTAAATTGTTTCTGTATTCATGTCAGTAAATTGTTTCTGTATTCATGTCAGTAAATTGTTTCTGTATTCATGTCAGTAAATTGTTTCTGTATTCATGTCAGTAAATTGTTTCTGTATTCATGTCAGTAAATTGTTTCTTCATGTCAGTAAATTGTTTCTATTCATGTCAGTAAATTGTTTATGTCAGTAAATTGTTTCTGTATTCATGTCAGTAAATTGTTTCTGTATTCATGTCTGTAAATTGTTTCTACCTTCATGTCTGTAAATTGTTTCTACCTTCATGTCAGTAAATTGTTTCTGTATTCATGTCAGTAAATTGTTTCTGTATTCATGTCTGTAAATTGTTTCTACCTTCATGTCAGTAAATTGTTTCTGTATTCATGACAGTAAATTGTTTCTGTATTCATGTCAGTAAATTGTTTCTGTATTCATGTCTGTAAATTGTTTCTACCTTCATGCCAGTAAATTGTTTCTGTATTCATGTCTGTAAATTGTTTCTACCTTCATGCCAGTAAATTGTTTCTGTATTCATGTCTGTAAATTGTTTCTGTATTCATGTCAGTAAATTGTTTCTGTATTCATGTCTGTAAATTGTTTCTACCTTCATGTTTGTAAATTGTTTCTACCTTCATGTCAGTAAATTGTTTCTGTATTCATGTCAGTAAATTGTAAATTGTTTTTACATTTATGTCAATAAATTATTTCTATGTTAATGTCAGTAAATTGTTTTTACATTGATGTCAGTAAATTGTTTTTACATTGATGTCAGTAAATTGTTTTTACATTGATGTCAGTAAATTGTTTATACATTGATGTCAGTAAATTGTTTTTACATTTATGTCAATAAATTATTTCTACGTTAATGTCAGTAAATTGTTTTTACATTGATGTCAGTAAATTGTTTTTACATTGATGTCAGTAAATTGTTTTTACATTGATGTCAGTAAATTGTTCCTACCTTCATGTCAGTAAATTGTTCCTACCTTCATCTTAGTAAATGATTTTTACATTTTTGTCAATAAATTGTTTCTACATTAATGTCAGTGTATTGTTTCTACATCAGTGCTGAAATCAAAGTTTATTGGAATCAGTATGTTCAATATAGATTCCATATCGAAGACTGTCGGTTCTTTAGCGCTACAATCAAAGAAAAACACCATAATGCGAAGAAACAAAATATTCTTTTATTCAGAATCATAATCTTTACATGAGATTTGGACCAGTCTGCCGGAATCACAATTAATCCTGATACCATTAAATTATGTGTATACTATCTTTATGTTTTGTTTTATCTTTATATCAAAATATAATTTGCATACATTATGCAAAACTTTGTAGATGATCTTATCAAGAAGATTATATATCCAACAAATGTACACACCATATTCTCACATGGTTCATTGATAGCATTTTTCATTTCTGTGACTTACTTCTTTATTTGATTATGTTTAGCTAAAGATTTGATAAAAAATTGCTCAGCTTTGTTTTTCCCGAAACCAGAACGTGATTAGTATCCAAATTACCACATTAAGCTTAGATTCTTTTACAATAGTATATGTATGCCATAGTATAGCCTGGGGTGACCACACTAACACTGCCCACAGGACCACCAGTAAATACTTCTCCTGATAGGACACTGGACTCAACGGACAACATTGGACTTAACAACACTATCCTTCCATTCCAGCAGTCACCAAAACTCATAATAAACAACTGACAATAACGGGTTGTTGAATTATAATTGAAATTGTTGACCATATATTTCCTAGTATTGTTTTTATTGATCAATATTCTGTTAGGCCATGTAGCTTGTTGTACCCCCACCCATCAGAGAACACTTCATAATAATTGGTAGACCATGGGTAAAAATGAGTTTTGTAATAAACACTGGCGTAATATGGGCAGCAGTACTAGTATATCCATGCTAATATCCACCCAGAACAACCTGTCAAATGCCCACCCAGCTTGATCTCTGGGGACGAGCCGTACTGTCGTTTAACCAATAAGAATAAATCTAGATAGAATAAATATATATCAATAATAAATATCTAAGTATTAACGAGTATAACACAGAGATGCCACCAGAAAGCAACCGAGGCGTTAACAACTACCATAAATGACGTCACACATCTCTCGTTCAATCAAGCTGCCGCACAAGGGAGACACGCCACCACGTGACACAGATAATAAGTCAGGCTCTAAATATTCTACGTTTGTTTTTCTGTCTTAAAGCAATATTTATGTAGATTGCTCATTATAAAAGTGAAAATAAAAGACAAGAATGTTTTAAGACATGACTACATCATTGGTGTGCCATGAAATAAAGTATTCCGATATGTTGTGAAAACAAGCGTATACCATTGATTCCGGTCTAGACAGTGTAATGTCCATTTTTGCATCAACCGATTGCTCAAAGATGATTAGACAAATAAGCGGAACTGTTCCTGTCTAAACAAAGCCGTTCCATGGTAGTCTGCTTGTGAACTCTGTGTCTAATCACTTACTACGCGTTAGCGTCTTTCCGCCAGTATTAGTTATTAGATTTACAATGTTGCCGATGGAGACGCAGTCCTATCGAGATCCTCCTAAGAATGTAATCACACTGGGGATATCTTAGACTATATCACTCAAATGTAGTGTATTCCTAGCTTTCAGAATACATTGATTTTCCGTCCAAATTTGTCAACGACATTAGCGCGATCGGTGTGGGATGATGAGCATTTTCTTGACCCTAAGGAATAGATAATGATACGGAATAGTATTTTTTCATTACGTAATGCTAACTTCAGTTGTCCAAACATTCAGCAGACCACCAATTCCCGATCCGGTACGCATTCATACCCCTCTGTAATGCATTGGGGAATTATTGTATGAATATCAATACAAATAATATTTAGTGCATGTCTACTTCGACATTGGATGGTTACCAAATGTCACCTAATATTTTCATATATTTAATTTGAAGTATTATCAGTCTTGTATGCATTTAGGAAATATTTATTAATGAAGTTTTGGCGCACTTTTGTTATTAAGAATGCTGTTCCGATACATTATCAGATTGGCTGTTTCTGCTTATCCAACTCGGCTTTGTTACAACGATACATCAAATACATTGATATACCACGTTATCTACATTTTATTTCTTTTCATTCAGACAATTCATCTGATTCTGTTCATTGGTTAGTCTGACAGCCAAATATGAGCCAATTGGCGAGAGATTAAGTACCGTGGTATACTATACGGCTTGAAAAGGATCATGGACAGGGAATGTCTCAGTGTCACTTTGTGTTATAAACACTGGGTAACACTGTCCAGACAGTTTATAGCCGGATGGCTTCCTGCCTCACATATTTACCGACTTGTCACACCACCTAATCTTTATGAAGCTCATTCGGATCCTCTCATAATTTCTATTTCTCGGATCTACTCAAGATTATCATTGGCGGAGTGAAATCCATATGGATATATCAATTGGTCTGACTTATCTCAGCGATGACATCGACATCTAAGTGGGAAAATATATTTATTTACAAAAAGGCTTTGCTGAGAGTTTATTACATATCGGATAAGGAACGAAATACGCGGATGTGACAATGCTAGGCGAATAAGTTAAAAAAACCCCAGTCTTTCCCTAGTATAAAGCGAATGCAGAAGAGCAATATGCCACAAGCATACTGACAGAGAACAAAATTAAGCATTGCGTATGAAATCATGTAAAAAGGCATATGTATATCCTATGTAATTGTAATAATCACAAGTCAACATTTAATTCAAATATACCATGCAATACATCCTATATACTTATCAGTATATACACACCTATATGTAGCAGCTAAACAAGTTATAGTGTTTCTATAGGGTAAATCTTTTGTATTTGTCAACCATATATCATGATTCCTGCATCAAAGTTAATTTTCTAATTGTTATAGGCCTATTAGATAAAGATAATGAAAAATCTTGCACTGCCAACGATTCTTATGGCCTTACCTATAGTACAAATATCATAGTTACTGTTGGGAGGATTAAATATGTTATACAAGTAATATATGTTACCTTACTCACTCATTAGTTTTTAATCGTTTATTTTCTACTGGATTTATAATTTTAATGAATCTAATTTTTTGCTAAGCAGCTTATATAAAAACTCTAGCGATGTGATGTTAAAATCGGCTGATAACAGAGGTCTATAGCGTTTCTGTATATATTGATTTTGTAATCAGTGAATCTTTCATAAATCTTGTACTTCAAAAAAGATATAAATCTTGGAATGTATCGCGTAAGTAACTGGCGTTTAAAACATTAGGATTTCGAAAAAATGGAATTTGGAAACAAAATTATCGTGTTGTGATATACTTATTAACACTGGAATGTGAGACAGTTAAGTGTTATACTAAACAATGGCTGGTGTACATGGTGTGGCCGAGGACAGACTGGGATATGTTTAGTCGACAAGATAACGGTATATATACCTCCTGCCCTCTCACACACTCTCTCAGTCCCAATCTAAAAATCATAAATGTCCATTGTCATAAGAAATGTTCGTTTCCCTATTATTACCATATCATAACTTAGTTTTATATACCAAATAAGATATCAATATCAGCATCTGATACTATAAAGAAAAACAAATTTTAAAAAAAATTAATATCCAGGTCCATTCCTTGTGTAAATTTGTAAATGAGGAACGCAGGTTGGACTACCTATACCAGACGTGCCGTAAACATTGAACATCGTCGTCCTTAACTGATCTCAGACAAAAATAAATTCTCAAAATTATGTAATTGGAAAATAACTTCTGTTTGCGTCGTCCGTAGATTTTTCTTTCTTTTTTTTTACAAAATAATTATCTATGTCATGTTTCTTTTTTTTAGTTCATTTTTTTTAATCAAAGACGGCTGGCTTCCGTATTTGGAATGGTCATTGCCAATGACGTCAGACTTTGAGTCCTCCTGTCCGGAATTTGTCAAGCATGTAGCTGACGTCATACCATTCTTCCTCTGGCATTCCTAATTTTCTCAAAGGTCGTTCGTCACCCTGCAGCACTGCTTCAAACGCCTCATGAAGATTATCTGCAGCATTCTCGCTCATCCCAACCATCAACTTCAAATCATCCAAGTCTGATGCAGCTGTTAGAAAAAAAGAACTGTTCAGTTCTACGTTTTTATATAACTCATAGCATCACAGAATAACAATCAGCGGATGTTAATGTGTACTGGAACATTGAGTATATGTATGACTGACTTGGATACAAATTATTGCACTCAGACGCAGAATGTTAGATTTCATACAGAGTATAAAGTGACTACTGTATAGCATGAAGATATTCTAGAATTACAAATTAGCATAATTGTTTTTGTTATAAGTTACCATAGATAATATAACACTATACCGAAATTGGATTTACTTTTACTTTCAGTTCATACCGTCCAGTAAACGTAAGAGGGTGGTGTAGATATCCACATAGTTCTTATAAATAGCTAATTTACAGAATCGAACAGTATAGGTATCCCCACAGCTCTAACTGACCCTGTTACCCAATAGTTTTATATTTATCCAGTGTATGTAGTTAGACAGAATAGGTATCCCCACAGCTCTAACTGAACCTGTTACCCAATAGTTTTATATATAATAAGTGTATGTATTTAGACAGAATAGGTATCCCCACAGCTCTAACTGAACCTGTTACCCAATAGTTTGACAGAATAGGTATCCCCACAGCTCTAACTGACCCTGTTACCCAATAGTTTTATATATATCCAGTGTATGTAGTTAGACAGAATAGGTATCCCCACAGCTCTAACTGACCCTGTTACCCAATAGTTTTATATATATCCAGTGTATGTAGTTAGACAGAATAGGTATCCCCACAGCTCTAACTGACCCTGTTACCCAATAGTTTTATATATATCCAGTGTATGTAGTTTGACAGAATAGGTATCCCCACAGCTCTAACTGAACCTGTTACCCAATAGTTTTATATATATCCAGTGTATGTAGTTTGACAGAATAGGTATCCCCACAGCTCTAACTGACCCTGTTACCCAATAGTTTTATATATATCCAGTGTATGTAGTTAGACAGAATAGGTATCCCCACAGCTCTAACTGACCCTGTTACCCAATAGTTTTATATATATCCAGTGTATGTAGTTAGACAGAATAGGTATCCCCACAGCTCGAACTGAACCTGTTACCCAATAGTTTTATATATATCCAGTGTATGTAGTTTGACAGAATAGGTATCCCCACAGCTCTAACTGAACCTGTTACCCAATAGTTATATATATATCCATGTTACCCAATAGTTTTATATATATCCAGTATGTAGTTAGAAAGTATATTTTTATATATATCCAGTGTATGTAGTTAGAAAGTATATTTATCCCTATTGTTCTGTCTGTTTTAATATACCAGTATACGTTTATATCTCTTTTATCTGCTGCTATTATAATGTGTATTTATTTATGTTACACTCATTTTGCAGTTTCTGAAGTCTAAAAAATGATAACCAAAATTTTGGATAAAAAAGTAACAAGTTGAAGGCCAGGGATAGTTAAAAGTAGTGTTTCTACTTACTTGCAAGACTGTGGGCTACCAGTTCTGGGTCTGCTCCGTCAAAAAATTTAGGGATTATCCAGTTTTCGTTCTTTAGCAGAAAATCCTCTATTTCCTCTACGGAGGGTCTGTTTTCTGAAAAATGTAGGCAAAACAGCACTTAAACGAAATTATACAAAATATAAATTACGGAAGACAAACTTACAATATATAATTAATACTCGCAATCGATGTACAAAATCACTAAAGAAAATGTATATGCAAAGGGATTAGATGTCAGAATATGTAGGCCGGCAGAGCAAACCTGCTGCAGATGATAACATCGTCAAGGAAACGAGGTGAAAAATTAACGAGCATAAAGAATGTCAATGTGAATATAGTGATGTTGAATATCACCTAATGAGGTTATAATGGTGACTAGGACTTGAATAAACCTAATAATGTCACTCGGCTTTCGCCACCTATCGTGGATATAATGATATTAAAAATAAAATCTTCTGTGACCTTTTAGTACCGGAGACAAGGACAGTAAGAGATTTGGGTTTTGAGAAAGAGGGAGACAATCTATCCTCTTCGGTATTATTATCGTTCAAAGTGAAATCAGGCCATCATGCGAGAACAATGGGAAACCACGTGATTTACATCATCAATCTAGTTTATCTTGGCAAAAATATATGTTTCACTAAATGTGTTTTTGTTCTTGAAAAAAAGAAATATCTAATACTAACAGATTTGTGTTTCTAGTTTCTAGGTAGATATTTTCATCTCAAAGAGGATGTAAACGCGATAAAGAATGTATTTCATCGAGCCGGAAATCAACATGCCTTATGAAACGATATGTAAAAATTATACCAAATTGTCGACATGCCAGCAAAACTCAGTCTCGATATGAATCAGATGAGAACAAAATAGGAATGAAAATTAACATGAAACTCTCAAATCAGCGCATAAGAAATAGATAAATATTTAAATAAACATATGCCCAGGAAGGTGTCTTGAGCCTTATCGGCGACATTCGCCTTATGGGTACTGGTCAATCTAGGTAAGTTATGTCACGTTCTCTTGAGAAACTTGTTTATGAATATAACGATACAAGATATTTATTCATTTTCCAAATAATTGTTATATCTTATACGCCATTACACAACCGACAGGTACTTGTTGGAATTGTTTCGCGATTTCAACTCCGTTTTTCTGTAATCAATAAAATCCTGGAATTCAGACGAGTAATAATTTCAATATATCAACCATGCTCTGTTGGCTAGTAATGAAGTAGTCAAAGTTTTATTGATTTTCTCGTGAACATACACTCAGCTTGATCGTTCGCACTTTCCTCCAAGGGCTGTTTGTGAGAGTATCACGATCCTGTTGTGGTAATTAAAATTTTATATCGTCAAACAGCAGAACATAAGAAAGTGACGCGAATTCACCTAAATGTGTCTATAAATCAGGAGTATTACTGTAAATGATAACAAAATAAATATCAACATTCTTGTATTTATCAAATAAACAGCGCAGTTTTACAATCAGATATCGAAAGAGGGTTTATCAAGGACATACCATAGATCACGGAGACTTTACTAAAAACAATCGGAATATAAAATAAAATCTTTTTGTTGGGATATTTCATGTAGATGTAATGGCCAGAGTAATCATGTATTCGAATCACCTGTCCCTACCACTTTTCATGTATTTAGGGATTTTGGTCTATAAACATCGCCTTTTCAATGGCAATGGCAATTTGATTATATAAACATTTACAAATGTATTTTTAAACGTTGATAAGTATCTTGCTTGAGAAGTGTATGCTATTCTTCCTACAATGTAGAGAGTACCTAACATACTTAAACCGATGTATTCTTTACAAACAATAACTTTTGTGTAATATATGTATAATATCGATTTCTGACATACATAGAGTTCATATACAACATATTACTAATTTCTGATAAACAATGCCTTTCGAGTTACATATTTTTAATTTCTGATGAACAATAACTTCCTTGTTACATATTTCTAATTTTTTATATACAATGACTTCCTGGTTAAATATCACTAATTTCTGATATACACTGACTTTCTCGTTACATATTACTAACATATGACATACTTTCGCGTTAAGTATCACCTCTATTTGACATACAATGTTTTCGTATTTACTTAAATGAAGTAACTTTTGTGACTTTCTTGTGACTTAAAACGTCGTCCCTTTCTTAAATTACCTATATATCTTTCCATGATTTTATTAATGTTCTTGTCTTTTATTTGAGGAATGTTTTCTGTGATGAAACACATGTCTATTTACATTGGCGTAAATGCTTTTTATCGTTAACGGATCAACTTAAATCCCTAGTTACCCCAATTTAAATACAATTCGATGCACGTACAGAAAAAAAAAAAAAACAACAAAAAAAAAAAAAAAAAAAAAAAAAAAAAACAAACAAACAAACAAAAAGAAAAACTTTTAAAAAAAATACAAATAACCCCATACACACCGTTAGAATATCTTTCAATTAAGCAACCATGTCGCAACGAAAGGAGTAGGTAGCTCCACCTGGATATAATATCGATCCTGGAGCAAACGGTATATTTGTATATAATGTTTCGTTACATTTAGATGGCTTACATGTCTCGTCACATTTAAAACACGCGTATATATGTAAGATACAGGGATGTAAGGATTTTACTTACAGCAGAAGTAATGACCACACCATATATTCTAGCGCGAGCCTAATCCCGATTCGTTGTTATCGATAAAAACAAACATCGGGGTAAGGTATTAATTGACTTATGAACATAAGATTTATCTTGTTTATTTTACGATTTTAACTACTTTTTTAATATACTACAAACACGCATTATAATGTGCTGAAACAACCATGACATCGACTAATGCACAGTACTTACTTGCGTTGCATACACGAGGGTTCTCGTCGAAGCCTTCGGGGCAGTCCCTGACATGGTTACAGATGTATTCCAATGGTATACATGCCCCGGCTGTTTTACATAAAAACGGCCTGTCAGGAGGACAACTGTTTGCTACAAAATAAAAAGGTAACTTGTATGAACATGAATAGGTTGATAATAATGAAAAAAAGCAAAACAAATGACGTATGAACAGGTTGGTAATTATAAAAAGACAACTTGTATGCACAAGGTGAGGTTGGTGGATAACTAGGCTGCAGAAAGGGGACGTGTGTATTAGATGGCTAGGCTACAGAAGGGGACGTGTACATTGGATGCCCAGGCTATAGAAGGGGACGTGTACATTGGATGGCCAGGCTATAGAAGTGGACGTGTACATTGGATGGCTAGGCTACAGAAGGGGACGTGTACATTGGATGGCTGGGCTATAGAAGGGGACGTGTACATTGGATGGCCGAGCTATAGAAGGGGACGTGTACATTGGATGGCCAGGCTACAGAAGGGGACGTGTACATTGGATGGCCGGGCTACAGAAGGGGACGTGTACATTGGATGGCCGGGCTACAGAAGTGGACGTGTACATTGGATGGCTGGGCTACAAAAGGGGACGTGTACATTGGATGGTTAGGCTACAGAAGGGGACGTGTACATTGGATGGCTGGGCAATAGAAGGGGACGTGTACATTGGATGGCTAGGCTACAGAAGTGGACGTGTACATTGAATGCCAGGCTACAGAAGGGGACGTGTACATTGGATGGCCAGACTACAGAAGTGGTCGTGTACATTGGATGGCCAGGCTACAGAAGGGGACGTGTACATTGGATGGCCAGGCTATAGAACGGGACGTGTACTTTGGATGGCCAGGCTATAGAACGGGACGTGTACATTGGATGGCTAGGCTACAGAAGTGGACGTGTACATTGAATGCCAGGCTACAGAAGGGGACGTATACATTGGATGGCCAGACCACAGAAGTGGACGTGTACATTGGATGGCTGGGCTATAGAAGGGGACGTGTACATTGGATGGCTGGGCTACAGAAGGGGACGTGTACATTGGATGGCTGGGCTATAGAAGGGGACGTGTACATTGGATGGCTAGTCTACAGAAGGGGACGTGTACATTGGATGCCCAGGCTATAGAAGGGGACGTGTACATTGGATGCCCAGGCTGTAGAAGTGGACGTGTACATTGGATGGCCAGGCTATAGAAGGGGACGTGTACATTGGATGACTGGGCTACAGAAGTGGACGTGTACATTGGATGGCCAGGCTATAGAAGGGGACATGTATATTGGATGGCTGGGCTATAGAAGTGGACGTGTACATTGGATGGCTAGTCTACAGAAGGGGACGTGTACATTGGATGACTGGGCTACAGAAGTGGACGTGTACATCGGATGGCCAGGCTATAGAAGGGGACGTGTATATTGGATGGCTGGGCTATAGAAGTGGACGTGTACATTGGATGGCTAGCCTACAGAAGGGGATTTGTGAAATAGATCTTTAGGCCCATAGCTTGGGGAGTGTATACTGGATCAATCAGCGTAAGGGGGTGATGTAAACACCGAAACGGTGGGAAATCAGACACCATCATCTACAGGTAAACTACGAATTAATCTTTTTCACGGATAAAACCCAAAACATATTTCGACTTAAGATACAACTAAAATATTTTTGAGAACATCTGAAAACGGCACAGACAATTGTATTTGTAAAATAAATGTCTATATTTTACATTAGTAAATACTAATGCAAAACATTCCAACCTGCACTAACGTTTATCGACCTCGATATCAGTCTTTACATGTAACTTAAAGCGGAAATCCTACACGCATGTTGTACAGATTACCTCAGAGACACATTGATACAAGCCAAGACAATTTGCCTCTACTAATGAACGAAGTCGCTGTGAGATAAGCCACCAGAAATTTGGCCGCTGCTACCTCTGTGTACATATTCTCTTTTTAATGAGGTGAGGAAGTACTTCTTCGTCATCTAAATTACAAATAAGGCGGAAGTAGGCGCCATTATCAGGTCTGTGTAGACTACCACATGTGTATAAACCAAGTTTAATGCTCCGCAATTTCACAAAGAGTCCAACAACAACCTTCTCATGGGACGTTTGAACTGCGAACATAGGCCGCTCAAGGTCTTTTATCTGCCTTCGCTGTGCCATACACACATTTCAGTGAGGGTAATACAGACATTAGCTACTAGATGCCCTCAGTTTTAAAACCGCTCCGATAGATATAAACAGACAAAAATATTTCAGGAAAAGTATTTCGGTTCGTCTCCATTCAATCACTTTGGATTTTCTCATCATTACCCTAAAATATCGGTTCGAACAGGAAGAAAGGTAGACACTTTCACAGCCGGATCGTTCAATGAGCTACGCTAACAATTCTATATACAAGAAATCCAGAGGAAAGGTGCTCGAAAACATAATGAGAGAAGTTTAATCAAATTGGAAGCCCGTCATTCCGAAACGGTCAACATAACTTGGTTGTCATTTCATATCTAACATGTATGTGGGTATTCATGTTTTTAATGTTTCCCATGTACCGGGTATAACTATTTTCCCTCGTCATGTTTTAAGTATATTCTGGTTGACGTGTTTGTTATATCTTTACCGTATAATACGTGTATCTGGGGAGTTTTTAATATTTTCCCATCATCGTGGACTCGTAACATTGTATCTACATATGACATGTATGCTATGTGTAACGTATTTATATCGTAAATATCGACAACATGTAATTCTATTTCTGTTGATAATTCTATAAAATTCTATTCGTGATTTTTTCTATTACCACAGATTGATATGGTCTACAAGCAGTGTTCGTTTTGGCAGTCGGTCTGTTTGCACTATGATGTGTCAGTTACCGTCACTCATACTTAATTGTTTACAGAAACATCAGCTATCAGCATAATAGCATACAGGAATACCAAGTCCATAAAAGTAAACGATTAAGGAACTAAATCTGTGAGTCCATGCAATTTTAATGGACTGCTCAAGGCCTTAAGCATAATGAATATTGTGGACCACTGTGATCTATCCAATTGATATATCTCACGCTCTGTATAGCATTAATGGCTTGATGGTTGCTTACGGTCAAATAAATTTCGATCATATGATAATAATCGTTTCAATATATTTCAATAACACTAGCTAATTAAGGCGGAGCTCAACACATTTACGTGTTTATATCCTTTATAGCAACACTGCTACAAAAAGTCCCCATAAAATGCCTATAAATGGTGATATACGAAAGACAAAGTATATTCCCCAAGTGAAGTTTGTTGCCACGGTACATGTTAGACACGCGGTATTTGGATAAAAATCTCAATATTGACAGAAAACTTTGCGTGTATGCTTATACATCTTCAATCCAAAATTTCGATTTTCCTGTTATCAACAAGAGCATGCAGTTTCCTGTTGAACCAGTGTAGTTAAACAAAGCTTTGTTTGATATAAAACATGAGCTATATTGGTCCTTATTTTGCACACACCCCTGTTGTCAGCCAGGATCGATGTCAGGGTCCATTGTTACTACTGTTATGTTTTGTTTTACCACATAAAAATATCATTTACAGGATACCATGAAGAAACCGTTGGCGATTACCCCATTTACCATCTATCTGTTCAAACATTATTGACCTAGATTCTACACCCGGGTAGAGTTTCCCTGTCCCGCACATCAAAATATAGGCTGTATTAATCATCATTACATTATGTCAAATCTTAAATACTGTACTGTCAGTTGCCAAATAATAGTTTTGATAATATTTAGAAAACGTTGGTATTCTGAATCGCTTTTCATTGATAGTTCACATAACAAGGAAATAACAAGAGGAGTTTACAAATTTAATCTACAGTGTCGTCAAAGGCGGAGAAGGAATAGGAGAGACGCCAATTGAATGAGAAAAAAAAGACCTCCACACGTTGTTACTGAGGAAATCAATCTTCAAACCTCATGTCGGATTGCTGTAGAGAAGATACAGTGAGATGAAACAAGACCTAAAGATCAGATAATCAAACAAAGTGGTGTTATAAAGGCTAGACAACATCAGTTTAAAACAAAAATCTAATTCATAGAAAAAGTAATTTTCTACGGAAAAGCAAACAATATCTCCAACAAACAAACAAAAAAGTCTTCAGGTCTGAATAAACGACACCATTGAAACATGGAAGTTTGATATTTTAAAATTAAAAACAAAAAGTAGTGCAATATATCAAAAGTCGTCATAATTAAACCTCCAGAATGTGGAAATACAGACACAACGCTCTATGTGGTGTTCTTATTTAAATGAATTAAATTTTAAGATAGGATTAGTAATTTTGTAGCCATTGTTATATTATTGCAGATGCAAGATGATAGAGTGTTCCGGGAGAAGTAGCGCCTTCTGTATCAACACCAGAATCCACCAACCAAGGCTAGGTCAAGGACATGTTATGTCACATGGTTCAAATAATCAGCGAGTTTACTGCGGAAATAGACGAAATATCTAACAAGGGACAGGATATTCACTTGAGCGTCGTTTTTAACAATCTTCTAGATTGCAGATAACTTTCATTCCCGAGGTTTGCCGTAAACTGCATAGCGTTGTTTCAGAAAATACACATCTACTTGACGTTCGTTTGGAATTATCAAATTTATGAAAATTACGTACATTATTTGGTAAAAGGCTTGTGCACCTTCCCAATCCAGATTTTGACATTTCATATATAAAACTAAATTTATGTTAAAAGGTGTCGTTTGTGTGTCTTTTGTACAATCTGCCATAAGGATCAAGGTACCTTAACTATAATCGTTTTTCTGTAAGCGTTCGACATCTATTACTAAAAGTATAGGATAGAAATATTTGAGCGTCTGATCAACTGTGTTAATAGTTTACCCCGTTATAATTGACTTTTTAAAATCATTACTGTTTGGCTGATATCTTAATTCTCTAGTTGTTGATTAACCCGAGAGCGTGACGTCATCTGAACTTAAGTTGAGAATAATGATATTTGTTGCTAATTATTGTTGTATACATGTAAGTAGACAAACTGTAGTACGCTAAATGTGTTTCAAATATAAAGAGAAATTTTTGTCATGACGGTGTAGTATAATTGTTTTGTGTCCCGAAAATTCAATCATCCTCTACACTAAGGTACATCTATCAGATATGTTACCATCGTTACTGAATTTTTCCTTATTAAGTGCAAAAGAGGAATTAGTCATGTTTCATCTTCTAATTGTAGCAGAAATTCAGTTTAATTTAAATTTCTTCGTGTTAGCTGTAGATATGAATATCAAAGTGTTGTCTCTAATGTCGCCATGGTGTTAATCAACAACTAGACCTGTTATTCAGCAATGTCAAAAAACGATCCTGTAATTATTGTAAAGGACAGGAAATACATGTATTTTGATTAAATTCAAACAAAATTTCAAACAATGCGCTTGTATGAATTTCTACAATAACATGCAAAACGATTCTTTGTTCTGCGTTCAGCGTGTCACCTCCGCGTGTTCGTTTGCTCGTAAAGATGTTTCTACAACTGTGAAAATGTTGGGCCAGCAACTGAAATCGTTTAGAGTAAAAATCGTCATAGATTCCCCCAGACGCCATTCTGCCTCTGAGAACCTCTACATCTTTATAAACAATTCAACTTAAGAACCCTCAAGGGGTTTCTGGAAGGGTCGAAATGACAAACGATCTGTGCGGCATGAAAGTCTAAGATGGTTATAACTGTATGTCGACTTTTTCATGATTAATCCTACATTTGTAGGTCGACGTCAATAAAGCGAGAATCAGCAGGCTCCCTCACGGGAATTCTATCCATTTCCACGATCAAAGTAGTCCCTTCTTACTAAACACTTTCCTAGTCACCAACAACTAAGCCTTATGATGTATACAATCTTGAAATGTGTCTGTGTGGTGTCCTTTGTCCGGACAGGTAATTAATTTTACGGAATGAGTTATTGTCAACATTTGTCTCAGATTCTAACGCACTGATTTTGTTTGCCATTTAAAATGAATAAATGTTATAAAAAAAATCGGGGAAACAAACACGGTTATTGTTTTCGAAAACGCTCATCCCATATGTTATCGTTACTACAATTGTGCTGCCATACTATAATGGCAGAAGTTCAATTTCATACGAGTTTTGATATTAAAGTTGTTGTTCATGACTTCGTTATTTCAACGTCTTTGGGACTATTGCAATCCAAAATAATGTTAGAAACTGAAAAATATTTGGATAAATTGTTAAATGTCTGGTGACTGTCACAATCTATCAAATGTATAACACAAATATTATGGCTCTTTTTAGCTGTAAATAACTCATCAACATCAATCCTGACAGTCTCTACGGTTTAAATTGGTTAACAACTTACAGGTAATAAGCCTTGACTCCATCACTCATAGCACCTACTTTATAAGAAGGTGTGGGTCGTAAGAACGTTTCTGTTTCATTTTGTAATTAGTTAGTTAAACAAGCTGAAATTTAGATTGGTATCCTTGTATTATTTTGTGATTAGACCGTTAAACAAACTGCAATTTAAAGTGGTATCCTTCTAAACCATTATATCACTGTGTGGTGCCAATTATAACGTTTAAAGATAGCTTATCGATTGCTTTACATAGTATGTAATTTTCTTATGAAAAGACGTGTTGTTTAAAGTAAATATACGCATTGTATAAAATTCCAATACAAATTGAAAATCAAGACATATAACAATTCTTTGTGCTATGTGAAGCTTGATGTGTTTTAGTATGCCTGTTGTTTACTTGTAAGCGTAGGAACTTATAGTGACCAATACTGACCAGGCGGGTATAGGCAATAAAGCAGAAGGCTTATCCTTCCGTAACACCTGGTCTTATTATTATAAATGTACTTTCCTAGGGATTCCGTTAATAGATTTCTTTTGTTAATGTTTTGTCCTAGTTTCAACGACTTTGTCTTTGAATAAAAACTCTGTTCACTTGTCAGTATTTTCTTAGTTGTATTTTAACAGTCGAAGCAAAATATGCCGCTGACAGAGGTACTACAACCTTAGACATTGTGAAGCAACAACGACAACACAACACTACATTGTATTATAATAACTAAACTTTAAGTGGAAGGAAATGTAGTCAAACGTTAAATAGATATAAAACAAAACGTTATTTACCACCACAACAAAATATTAACAGTTTAGTTGTAGGAACCATTGAAAACAAAATAAAAAAGTTTATGCTGGGTTGTAATTTATAAAGTGATCCCTAATAGCACAGGTATATAAGTTACATGTTTAATGAGGAGATGCTTCCCAGTCCGATTGTCGATCAAATCTTTTCATGAGGAGAGCTTCCCAGTCAGATTGTCGATCAAGCGTTTTAATGGGGAGAGGCTTCTAGTTGGACGGTTTATTAAGCGTTTTAATGAGGAGAGCCTCCCAGTCCGATGGTCTGTAAAGCGTTTTAATGGGGAGAGGCTTCCAGTACGACGGTCTATAAAGCGTTTTAATGAGGAGAGCATCCCAGTCCGATTATCGATCAAGTGTTTTAATGAGGAGAGCCTCCCAGTCCGATGGTCTTTAAAGCGTTTTAATGGGGAGAGGCTTCCAGTCCGACGGTCTATAAAGCGTTTTAATGAGGAGAGCATCCCAGTCCAATTATCGATCAAGCGTTTTAATGAGGAGAGCCTCCCAGTCCGATGGTCGATCAAGCGTTTTAATGAGGAGAGCCTCCCTTTCCGATGGTCGATCAAGCGTTTTATTGAATAGAACCTCCCTGTCCGATGGTCGATCAAGCCTTTTAATGAGGAGAGCCTCCTTGTCCTATGGTCGACCAAGTGTTTTAATTTGGAGAGCCTACCAGCCCGATGGTCGATCAAGCGTTTTAATGGGGAGAGGCTTCCAGTCCGACGGTCTATAAAGCGTTTTAATGAGGAGAGCATCCCAGTCCGATTATCGATCAAGTGTTTTAATGAGGAGAGCCTCCCAGTCCGATGGTCTTTAAAGCGTTTTAATGGGGAGAGGCTTCCAGTCCGACGGTCTATAAAGCGTTTTAATGAGGAGAGCATCCCAGTCCAATTATCGATCAAGCGTTTTAATGAGGAGAGCCTCCCAGTCCGATGGTCTTTAAAGCGTTTTAATGAGGAGAGCCTCCCTTTCCGATGGTCGATCAAGCGTTTTATTGAATAGAACCTCCCTGTCCGATGGTCGATCAAGCCTTTTAATGAGGAGAGCCTCCTTGTCCTATGGTCGACCAAGTGTTTTAATTTGGAGAGCCTACCAGCCCGATGGTCGATCAAGCGTTTTAATGGGGAGAGGCTTTCAGTCCGATGGTTGATCAAGATTTTCAATTAGGAAAACATCACTGTTCAAATGTCGATTTTAACCAGGAGAGCATCTTACAGTAATCGCTCAGAAAACGTTTCTGTCATTTACATGTGTTAAAGAGAGAAGATAGAAAAGAGTTTACGGATTTTCCCAACTTTAATATAAAAATCTTAACAATTAACTTGCACATCTTTTCCTTGTCATCGTAAATGGATGATTTTCTATTGATAAGGTCAGATACCTTGAAATAATAATTCGAAGCAGAAAAGGGAGGGTTACGAGTGTTTAATGATTTGGCACTGTGTAAACAACACCATGGATCTTTGATGTAGTCCTCAAGATTAACCATAAGCACAATTATCGTTGCTACATATCATGTGCTCTAGAATTGAATCCTCCGAACAAAGATAGAAATTTCACGATTACCTTAATGCTGTATACCGAATATCATTAGAATTTATCCTTGTAAAACTCCGCCACTGTATTGTGATATACATATCGAACAAAACTTATCGAATAACCAATCCAGTTCTCCTTGGAAGTGCAAACTACACTATTTAACCCTCTTAATAATCAGAATGGTAACCAGAGTGATAGTAGACCTTTTCTTTATCTACCGTACACACAGAAGTGTAACCAGGGTGTCGATCCTTTCCTTAGGAACACCATACATCCGTAGGGGTAACCAGGGCGACAGTCCCCTTTCCTAAGCTACACCATACACCCGGAGGGACACCCAGGGCAAGACTCCCTTCCCTACTGTATACCATACATCCGGTGAGGTTACCAGAGCCACAGTCACTTTCCTAAGGTACACATACAACCGGTGGGGTAACCAGAGCTACAGTCCCTTTCCTAAGTTACACCATACACCCGTACGGATAAACAAGGCAACACTCCCTTTCCTAAGGTACGCCATACACCCGGTGGGGTAACCAGGGCAACAGTCCCTTTCCTATTGTATACCATACACTCAGAAGAGTAAACACTCGAACAAAGTTTAATGTATAATAACATATAACATACGTAAATAAAATATTGAGACAAGGTATCAGTGTACCAAAGCTAAGTATAAAGTATTAAAGTTCTTTGATGACGACGATGATGATGATGATGATGATGATGATGATGATGATGATGATGATGATGATGATGATGATGATGATGATGATGATGATGATGACGACGACGATGTTGATGATGATGACTCACCTGGTGCTAAAGAAGATTTTTTCTCAAGTATGTATGGTTTCCTGAGTTGCCGTAGCCGTGAAAAGTCGATTTTCATACCATATACGCATGCGCACGATAGAACGAACAGAAGAACAGCTATATCCTGCCGTCCAACCCCTCGCATCTGCAACAACAAAACATAACACCTCGTTAAAAAGTTTGAAACACCATATTTGGCTGTCCATTGATTGAGAGAGAGAGAGAGAGAGAGAGCATTCTCGCACCCTCGCAAATAAATAGGTACCCACAAAGATTGTTTATCAAATTAAAAAAAAAATATTCAATATTCGCGAGAGATGAGGTTTGGTTGAGGAGTGATATACACTTGAAATTACTACATTTTTATACTACTTTTAGAAATGGCGGGCATGGGGGCGGGGGTGTAGGGTGGGGGATAGAGTGAAAGAGAAATATCATTTTTAGGCTAAACGTACTCAGTACGCATAGCCTATTGCGACGGCCTTTCAGACAAAATTTTCCGATCCTGGCATTCTCATTGGCTGAAATATCGAAAAGAGTTTGAGCCCTCTAACGGCAATTTTCTGCGTAAATAATGCCGCGATTTTTCAAATCGCTATTTTAAAAGCATCCAAAATTAGTTTATTTTTTTAATAACAATACGATTACTATATTTTTACTTTGTTAACACTCTATCATTGTCATAAGTTAATGAAATCCAACCTCGTTGGAGTTTTAACAAGGGTGTGCATATGACGCTTAGGTAATGCGAGTAGTGTATGTACACAGGAGAACGATTCGGCACATGTTATTATCAGAATGTGTAATTGAGATATCCTTACGACTGTGACTGCGGATTGCTTTTCTGATCATTCTGGTAACGCAAGCTAAGCATTGTAGAGTCCCTGGCGTGCTGTTACAAACGAAGTGACAATAGGTCACTCGTAATACACGTCATTGTACGCATGCGTACGGTGTCATCTCTTCACGATGGGTCATGAAGACTCGAATTTCTAATTCCGATATTGTTTTAGTAAATCTTTATTACTGTTATAAAATGTACATATCCAGAACGCACCTACCCTTGGCCTGGCGCTAACATCCTAGTCCACTGGCGCGAAGGTTGATGGCACGTGATACACCAACTTGCGGCGAAACACCAAATTGATTTTAAAGTCTAATAAACACATGTTTTGATGACGCAGTTTAGTGTTGATGGGTGTGATAGAGGGGCTTCCTTTGCTTTTATGTTATCACTATGTAGGCTAAAGTGTAAATCACACATACTTTATTAATTAAAAAACTTTGAAATAAACAAATTCAATTAAGATAAAATCCACAATTTCATTAACAATTCACGCACTTTTCCTTGCAGTCGATGGCTGATCGCCTCTCGGGTGTCGAGTGCGGCACGGACGGCTATTAAAGGGCTTGATGAAACGTTTTCGATCACCTGATTTTCCTGACAGGAAACTGATACTGTCAGAACTGTGCGTTATCTTACCGACTTCCGCTCCGTATTAAATGATATTCAATGATGGGCGTAAATACATAACTGGAGGACTCTCACGCTATTTCGTACGGAGGGGTACCATAATTAAATTATTCCATAATCTTACAATATTTTATAATTCATTCTTATTCTATATTAGAAAAATATAAAAAAAAATGTTTACAAATCATTTACATTTGTTGCCAATTTTACTTCAATGAATTGCAGAACTCTTTGAAATCCACGGATTCTGTATAATGCGTTATCCACGACTTAACACTGAATGTTATTAAGGTAACGCTACACAAATTCACTCGTCAGTCACGTGCTATGGTAGAAATGCAAAATGGTAGCATCGAATTTTAATTTTAAATTCAGACAACTCAATATTGACAAATGCTTCGGCAGAATTCCCGTCTGAACGTGATCCAGTGGTGTAATCCTCTCTAGGAATTTTATATGTGTTTGATTGTGATTTCGTAAGGAATAGCCAATTAAAACGGCCGGAAAGTCCTGATTTACCATACAACGATGTGGTTTATTCTTTATTTCATTTATTTGATTGAATCATAAAAAGGAGCCTTACAATTGTATTGTCGCCTTCTATGTATGACACTTACTAGGGTATAGTGTACTCCATGTCAGTGGCTGGAAGTTCAATGATTGCCATGTAATGGTGTGTAAATGGAATATTTAAAACAACCATATTTCCCACCTTGAAGAGAATAAATATGTGAGCTGCAAGTTTGTTACCCGTCCAAATAAATATTGTTTAAAAGAAATAAGAAGTGTTTAGGATGAATCTTTAATTAAATCCTATATCAATTTAGTATTGGTTTTAAATATAAATATATACACTTTCCTGAGTGTACCTGTACTGTTGATGTTTATTTTGGAGCCAGTTATGTTCCAAAATTATTTTTCGTGTTTTTGTGCCTGTTAATCAACAGACCTTCCAAACAATTCATAATTCCAAATTAATTTTGTGGCGCATTCATTTAAACAAAAGGTCACCACAGCACCAACTATATTCACGCATCAATATCAAACAGTAATTGAATGTTCCATTAAGTCTGTCAAAACATAAAACACTGAAAAACACATAACAATAATCATTGTGATGTCGATCAGGTTAAACAAACATTCCATATTTGGTTTCAGTGTCGGGTTGGTGCACAGGTATAGACCATGTCTAACGTTACAGATTTATAGAAATCTAACACCACAAATATCTCCTGTCATAAAACGCCATTGAACAGTTTTGATTTAAATAAACAGTTAATGATGCGTGATTGAAAATAATGTTAACCACCCGTGTCCGCAAATTCGTTCTGTCAGAAATCAATCGATACCCGTCGAAAGTTTTTATGTGAAACATTAAAACGATAACAAACTAATAATAGAAAATTTATAGCGCAATTTACGTGATCTCATGCTGCTGATAAATTATTAAACAACCCATACAGGCCATGTCACTGGAGAAGATGAACATCCAACGATCAAAGTTTATTATTGTGGCCCGCGGCTCCTGTACCGAGTACCTCAGACACATCGAAGTCGCCATAGTGCAACGTTAGATTATGGATGACTCGCTTTCCTACCTCTGTCATCAAAGTTCGTTTCTGTTCTTACAAAACCCCAATAAATGTCATCGAAGTTCGTGTCTTTATATACAAGAACCCTGCGACTGTTATCAAGTTCGTATCTTCATCCACAAGAACCGTGTCTATAACTGTCATTAAGGTTCGTGTCTATTTTCACCAAATGCACACGCTGTGGAGTTCAGGAAAAATATTTATCTTCAATGCAGTTGGAAAATAAAATTTCAAATCCGGTGTGGATTTAATATTAACCAACCAGAACGGTAAAATAAAATGCATCTTTTTTTATTGGCCAAACCAGGACGGTAACCAAATATTTTATTTCAAGATGACCAGTCAAAACGGTAACATAAAATGTATCTTTTATATTTGCCAAATCAGAATGCTAGCCTAACATCTTTTATTTCAAGTTGACCAATAAGAACGGTAACATAAAATGTATCGATTTTCTATTGGTCAAATCAGTAAGGGAATATGTCTATTCATTGGCTTAGTCGTATTTAGTTGCAAAAGTTCCCACATTTAAAATGAAATTTATGAAACAGGTCATACATGCATGAAACAGAAAAGAAAGTCGAAATCGTTTTCTCGCATAATCATACTTTCCAGCAATTATTTATATAAGCACCATTTTCCTAGCTTATGTGTAGATTAAACATGAAATACATTGTCGTGTCATTTGACTGCCATATTCAACTTTGTCATCCAATCAGAATGTGAATTAGAAACCCAATGCACTATGGTGTCAGAATTGAGGACGTACCTGTTTTCATATGTTAGATATATACCTTCCTTCAGTGTTACACTGGTAGGTTTTAAACATAAACACAAATTAGGAAATATTCAGTTATCGAAAACAGGTAAAATAGACATAGAGTACACTTAAGAGTTAATGCTAGATGCGGTACTATTTTGTCTGAAAGTTGAAAACACAAAACATGTCGCTATGTTCTTGCGAATTCTGGGTGGAGAACATTTGCTCAGTTGGTATATATATATTCAAACAATTAAAATTAGAAGATTTTTTTTAATTCTTGGCGGATATTCCTCCTGATATGAAAACAAATTAATCCTTTCTCAAAAATACCTGGTAATGGATAACGTCACTGAAACGTTTTGTTTGGAATTCGGAAATAATTAATTGATTGTGATAGAAACTAAATTAAACGTGTACACTGGAGAGCCAACTTACAAATATATTTAATAGCAGACATCATCAAAAATGGTATCGTTTCTGGTAATGATATATGAACTGTCTATATCAGAGTTCCATATAATACGACCGTTTCCGCTTTGTTGATTTCTACCCTTAGTCTCCTCCACCCCTGTCTATGAGGGGACGTGAAGACCAGATCTGATACATATTAAACGGTTTACTTAAAGCTGCCAATGTTGTTTGATCAAAGGTTCCATGGTTATACAAGAGCTTCTGACTGTCAACATGGCTGAGTGCGACAATTGTTTGTCTTCCTTTGAGCTATTTATTTAGTAATGTAACTCTATCGGCAGCTCCCCGCGATTCAAGTCGTGATGCCACAATTAATTTCTGGGATTCTAGTTGGGTTTTGGTGCCGTCCCTAAATGTCACCGATGAGAGCTGAGCAATGACCCTTGCGACATTTGATAGAGATGGGCTGTACACAAAAACAGACTATGAAAGTGTCAGTAATGATATGTTCTAATCGAGATTGATTGTTTCTTTAACTCTGAAATGTCTGTTTTAGATATCTGTTCTTTCCCGATAAATAATATCACTTCCAAACCTCTAAAAAAACCCAAAAAAACATTGGTACTCTACATGTATTTGTGAATGTTGTGAGCATTGATTGGTAATGATATTCAGCAAGTGTGAAATACGGACAGAAATTAACTGCAGGAACTATTGTTGATGAAGGTATCCAGCAAATCAAACGCTACCAAGTCATCTACACATTGTACAACACCAGTAAGGGGCGTGTCGGCCGAGGGCGTGTCGATAGGAGGTTCATGTAGTATTGATCAACCTACTGTGAGACAAGTGATTAATTGTATAACTTTCTACATGTGTCACCGGAAAAAACATCGATCCTCGTCACTGGCGTTACCAACAGTAATATATAGAGGTGCGAGACACACAGATAAATTCTAAACCTACAGCAAGGATATATTTTTGGGAGGTAAGAATCTAGAAAACTTATATACACATTAAAAAAAAACCCACACACACATTACAAAGCCAGCCCTTCTGGAGAAGAGATTCGTCAGTGTGGATGAGGAATCCTGAATCACGCCGTCCCAGGGGACACGGGTACATGTACCTGCATGGATTCACCTAGCCAATCCCGCACTCCAATTATACCCCTGTCTAGCTGCAGCCACAGCTAACAGTAGTTTCTTTGTAAATCATTTGATATAGAGGTTCGGGAAATGCAACCGAAACAAATTGTTTATTGAATGCATCCAGATTTCTATTAAAACATAACTCAAACGCGTGTCGTCGAAGAAATCACATTATGGCTCATATTTCCAGAAAACATATAAACCAATTACATGGAATTGTTATCAGCGGGTGTGGATGTCTTATAAACAACTGGTGCTACAGCACTCTCAAAGTCCCAATCATTTCCCCACCTCAGTACAACAATGGAAAACGGTTTGTGACAATTGTAACGGTTCTTGATACCTTTCGCTGGTGTTGACACTTTCTATCAACACACGCCAATACTTACCAAACAAGTTCAGCTTACAAAAGAAAAGACAAATTAGGGAATGGCATGCAGAAAGAGATAGTGCTGAAGCACGATTAGGTTACAGTCATACTTGTACATTTTCTTGTCGTTT